CATTTAGCACCGTCTGGTCACTCAAAAATGATTATATACATGCATGGACTGCCTGCATATATATATCGAAGGCAGAAAACTGCAAGAACATTTGTAAGCAGTTCAATATACTTGTTGTTACATATGCACAAGTTTTTTTCACAACAAGAATTAACGCTCCGATTAAAAGGATTATTAACCACAGACTGCTAAAGATGTAAATTACACAAAGTAATGTATGTGGTGCATGATGGATTAACTTTTTGCATATTACGCTTACTCGTTCAAGAGGCAGTCTAATTCAGACCTTTTTCCAGTGATCCAGCGCCACTAATGATTCAGAAAGATTGCTCTTTACGTAGACTTCATCAGCGAAAAGATGTGCTTTGAGTAGTGTTCCAGCACTTCCAAATGTTTCAAATTGTATATCTTTGATCAGATGAATACTTCCCGGGTACTGCTGCAGTGAAGCAAATCAAGGACACATTTAAGATCATCAAAATTTTCAAGACACCTTACAGTACACAAACGCACATACACACATTGTTCCTATAATTTTTGTCTCTAAAAAAACTTAGCGCTGCCTTGAATAATATTTTTTTATGAAACAATGTCGTCCAAATGTAGAACTGAACTTTTTTTAAAAAAGGGAAATGTTAGTCATTTTATCAAAATGCAGAAAAAAACAAAAAGGAAAATCAGGAAAGGACATTAAGACCACTGGATATCAAACAATAAGAGTGATTTTACTGGGAAGCTTCCATATGCAAAATAAGAAGCTAATCAAAATCAAACCACAGTATGAAAGACTTATGAAAAGCTGGCTCCTACTCAATAAAAGTGATGGGCTAACACCGCTGTTTGTAAGCAACCAATTTCAGATAATGGTGTTAAATTGATACAAAAATTTACAATATTGTCAAGTAATTCATTACTAAGATGTTGATGGTAGTGAGAAAATCTGAACGTCGACAGACAGCTACGTGCATGTCGTGCAATGGGACAGATGTTGCCTAATTCAGTATAGCTAAAGCAACATTATTATTTCCTATAGTATATCTAACAATTTTCCTCAAAATGATGAAGAAAGCATCAGCAGGCTAATCAGCAAATGGTGCAGCATTGGTCACAACTCCCCCCTCCCCCACAAAGGCAGCACGGTTCTAATACGGTTCACTGGCAATATAAAGCATGCAGAAATGCCGGTACATTGTTATCAGCAAGAGAAGAAAATTCGGTTAATTACAAAACTAAGAGTACCAATTAATACTTGCTGGATCGTCACAACAGTTCAAAATAACACAGTATAAAAACCCAGGCTGGAACGCACCAGGCCGGCCGGAGCGATTAT